ACATCTTTTCATCTACATTCTCTAGAATATTCCACAATATTCTACACAATTCCAATAATTTCAAGTATTAAGTGGTTTAAGTTTGGCTTAATTTCTCATTCACCAAACAAGGAATTTCCACTTAAATCATTTCAATTGGTCACAACCAATTTCCAATACAAAATTCCAACAATTCCAACTTATTGGTACCAGTTACCAGTTCCATTGTCTAGACCGTACCTTTGCCCAAATCGCCCGTCTATCGTCTCCCTCCTATGCCGATGATTTTGTTGTGGGTTAATAGTAAATTGGTAATGGACTCGCAATTTAATGGATAAGAGTGTTTGGGCTCATTCTTCATTACATTGGGCCTTATTTTTTTAAAATAAAGGCTCAAAGCTCGCGACGGATCCAGCACGGGCGGCCGCGGAGACTGGCCAGGTGCTGGATCTGGCCCCAGGGACTTATCTTGCCCACTCATCATAACCCACATATAGTAATAAAGAACACATTTTAATCAAAATAGTGACCACTGCTCACAGAAAGTAGTAGAGGAGATTGCAAAGTGAAGCAAACTCCATAAAATAGAGAAAGATCTTCATCTGTTTCTCAACGTGTATACGTAATTAAGGTAACTTGATTGCGACTCATTATTTAAATTGGTATCACTATAGAAGTGATACAAGGTCATTAAAATTGACCTCAATAAATATTTGACAAGATATGAAAAAATGGCCCATTACTTGAATTACCCGTAGACCAATACTCATATGCACAACAGAAGCCACAACACACACAAGAGGGTGACAAATATTTTAACACAATAGAGGTTCTACACACGCAGGCAAGCCAAAAGCTCGTGCGTGAAGCATAACAAAAGGAGTCCACGATAAAAAGGAGAGGTATCAAAAATCAGTAACCCTATGGAGTACCAAAGGGTTGGATCCATCAATACGAAGAGGTACGCAACATTAGGAAGGACCGTCAAAGAGTAACTGGTAACTAGAACAGTAGAAGGGTCGCACATAACAAGAGGGCATAACAGAGGGTAGTTGACCTAGGGTATCTGCATATCATTTTTTATGGGTATGTTTGAGCCCTATTGTTTTGAATGTATCCTCAAATCATTTTTTCAAATGTTAAGACTCATTTTTAAAAGTCAAACATTTATTATTAGTATGTTTGAGCCCTACTAATTTGAAGAATATATTTTGTAAAAATGATTTTTTTTTTTTTTTTTGCAAAATATGTGATTAAAAGTAGAATTTTTTTTTTTTAAGTATACATGTAAAAATTATTTTATTGAGAGTATTTCAAAGTCGTTTTCAGTTTTGCATAACATTCAAAACTTGTTTGGTCTTTTACTTTCAAATATGCATTTTTGAAAACAAAGTTAAATTTATATAATAAAAGTCAAAACGCATTTTTTACGTTTTGAATATTTTCAATGAAAATTCTGAAAACACTCAAAATATGGGAAAAAATAGAATATGATATTCTAAAAATAAAAAATTCTTGAGAAATAATATTATAAATTCTAGAAAAATATAAAATATAAAAAGTAAAAATAATGTAAACTCCCAGTAATTATTACATGAAAACTCTGAAAAAAAATATTTAAATGAACTCAAATAAAAACGTTTTCAGTCCGAACCATTTTTACTTCTATTTGCTATATTTTGTCAGATTAGTTTATTAGTTATATTATAAAACTAATCAAGTTTTAAAAGTATATATTACTTAATAATATATTAATATAAAAATGTTCTATTTTACTGAATAATTAAATTTTATAATATAAAATATTATAAAATATTTTTTTTCAAAACTTTAAATCAAACCCTATTCTAAAAATAATTTTTTTAAAATGACAACCTTTGACCATCTAAAAAATAAAAAAAAAACAAGAAATTAAGAATTAAAGCACAAACCATTACGATAAAGCGTGTATATCAACCCAAAATAGGGATTTCATTTAAAAGGCCTAGTCGACCCTAACAACACCTAGAGATGATGATGAGTGTAAATGCCAAAATTAAAATATTGTCAATTAATATTGCAGCTAGTCACAATAATTAATTAATCTAAATCCAGTTCACCTGAATTAATTACAAAATATTGAATTGTCTGTTTATATGAAATCAATAGTGTAAACAAGACAAAGAATTGATGACGGAGAAAACCTTTAACTGGGTAAAAAATTTCGGGACAAAGTCGTAGTATCCATTATAGACAATATGAACTTACAGTGTCATTATTTCACTGACCTAATTCCTATAATTTTCAAAACCCGCTGGACAGTGCTTCCCTACACCAGATTCCGATATTTTGGAATTGTCTATCCTTGTATGGATCAACTAAGAACTCCTATTTCTTGTAATATTCCTGAGCTCCTGGTCCACCTTCCTGAATCTCCAAAACCTCTGAAAGCTATTTAGGAAGTAGGTGTTTCGATATGAAGTTTCAATATTTTTTCCAAAGTCCGTGGTTGATTGATCTCAAGAATTAAAAGATTAAT